AGGACAACTCCCCCGTCCTCTTGCAAGCCAAACTCAACATCACGTCCAACGACGAGTGCAATGAGGCGTTTGGACGTAACTTCGAAATCCTCGACTCCATCGTGTGTACCACTAGCGCCGACAAGGGCCCGTGCATCGGCGACATTGGCGGACCGTTGATCATCGTCCGCGACGGTGTCGAGTACATTGCCGGTGTGTTGAACACGAACAGTGCTTGCGCGGACACTGAGCACCCTAGTGCGTACTCGCGCGTGTCGGCCACCCGCGAGTTCATCGAACCATTCTTACCTGACACACCGCCAAATCCCAAGCCTGCGTGCTAAGTAGTCGATGTTGTATAACGCAGTTGTACTTGTCCATACGGACCTGCATTCCCCTCTGTGTTGTTCATCGGATGGCATGTCACCTGGTGCTGTCATGTCGTAGGGGAGAGTGCACTTTGTCACACCGACGGGTTGGTTTGGAATATCTCATCGCCCACCCCTTGACTCGTTGTGTTGCCATTTTGAAATTCACGTCGACATGACCAAGTTCCTCGCCCTCGCTACCCTCTCCGCGTTTGCCGCCGCCCGAACCGAAATCTTCGGCGGCACCGAAGTCCCCAAGGGCCAGTCCATGTACGTGGCGAGTCTCCGTGAGACCGAGTCCAGTTCAACCTTGTGCGGAGCGACCTTGATTGCCCCCAAGGTACTTCTCACCTCCGCTTCCTGCACCCGGTTCTCGCCTAACTACGCGTCGATCGGATCGCACTTTTCGAGCGGTAACCAGGACGGCGAACGCATCAAGATCATCAAGACAACTGTGCACCCGAAGTACGAAGTATTACCGTTCGACTACAACATTGCCATTCTTGAATTGGAATCCGCATCCAAATTCGCTCCCGTCGCCGTCAATTTGCAAGAAGACGCTGCGACTGATCCTGGCGCCGTGTCGTGGTTGCGTGGCTTCGGCAAAACTACGTTTTTCGCGGAGGACAACTCCCCCGTCCTCTTGCAAGCCAAACTCAACATCACGTCCAACGACGAGTGCAATGAGGCGTTTGGACGTAACTTCGAAATCCTCGACTCCATCGTGTGTACCACTAGCGCCGACAAGGGCCCGTGCATCGGCGACATTGGCGGACCGTTGATCATCGTCCGCGACGGTGTCGAGTACATTGCCGGTGTGTTGAACACGAACAGTGCTTGCGCGGACACTGAGCACCCTAGTGCGTACTCGCGCGTGTCGGCCACCCGCGAGTTCATCGAACCATTCTTACCTGACACACCGCCAAATCCCAAGCCTGCGTGCTAAGTAGTCGATGTTGTATAACGCAGTTGTACTTGTCCATACGGACCTGCATTCCCCTCTGTGTTGTTCATCGGATGGCATGTCACCTGGTGCTGTCAGCAGCATCATCGTGTCCCTCGGGTCACTGGAGGGTCCGACAGGAGTCTCTTTGTGCGTTCTAGAGACTTTTTCCTGATGTAGACGTCCGTAGCACGAACGAGTGGGAGACTTATTGAAGGCTTTTTCAAACTTGGCCAACAGGGTCGAATGCATTCGAATATGTCGTCGGCTGCGAGTTTGCCACACCAAGTTTGAATAAAGATACATGTGGACCCAATTCGAATTCGACGCCCCACGTGCTTACACACATGTACGCAAGAGCAACAGGGGTGTGCGGCCGCGTACCAGTGGAATGAACAGAACCCTTGCCGACGCCACAGCTTCTCAACTCGGCGCCTCAGCCTTCGAAGCATTGTTGTAGACGCTGCTGCCTAGCAGCGATGAACCCTGCGGTGCTACATTTCATGTCGAGCTAACGCGGTAAGCAAACATCCCTGCCTATTCTCCACCAAACCAGAGAGATCGTGGATGAGAAAGATCACTTACCTGCACTTGCTCATACGTCGCAAGCGCTCTCTCCGATATACCCCTCCAAGCATACAGGAATGCTACAACAAGGGGAACTTGGTACCAGAGGTGGCTTCGGAAGAAGTAGTATTCAACTCTGACGTCCAAGGCGAAGTCAATGCTTAAGAAGATGCGTTGCAGCCGGGGTAGACGCTTTGGGTACACACATTCGCACCATGTACGTGGGCTTGGGGGTTGGGACCGTCGACGGCGCCGGCATGGGGGTGAGGGGACGAGATCCCCTCGGCGACGATACACGCACCGTTGCCCCCGACGCCACGCTGCAAACGAATGTGGTTGGACTCGTCCCCGGTGCACGATGTGCGTTCCTTCACAGCCCGATCGCCATCTTCTCGCACTCTGCATCTGTCATGAAGGCACAGGGGCTGATTGCTGAGCATGGCGTGGGGTTTGTTGCGGCGGGCGACTTCGATGGTTTGATAGTTGCAGTAGAACCTCTGGAGAACGCTGCTTTTGTCCCCGACAGAGTTTACGCTGTCGGTGGCGGGAACAAGAATCCCTCAGCCGCGGCCTCTTGCCCATTGCACTTTCGTCCAGGATTTCGTCTTTTAAAGACGAGTTGTGAGACATGCGGGGTTTCCAGATCGATGCATGGACTGCCAATTGTCAAACCTTCGGTCATTCGTTTTGAGGGCCACCGGTGGTTGTTGGCTATATGCACTGTCACTCAACGATCCTGCTGCCGACCTTCGAAATGAATTTACTGATTGTAGCCACGT